TTGGTATTATCTTTGTGCTCCTTCTCGTTTCAAACCGAAACCTCGCGATTTCGACACATAGCACATTATGCACATTGTACGTTCGTCGTCGTGCGGTGAATTTTCGTTTGTGCATAATATTATGCGAAAAGCATATTACGAACAACGCTCGCGCGTGTTATGTTACATAACGACGTAATACGTATACATGTGTATATTATATTTAGCTGTTGTATTGTACTCGCTGCGACCGTAATCATTATTTATAAACGTTAAAACAATACAATGTTTAAGTTGAAATTAAAGAAATGAAGAGACGAGTAAGCCACTGATCGCAGGCGCAACGTATTTTTTTGTTTTTTTATTTTTTTTTTTGGTTTAACAATAATGCCGTGTTATTTTTTCCCTCGCGTGTAACTAAGAGAACGGAAAAATAAAATAAAAAAAAATAAACGTATTTAAAAAATGGGCGATACTGCCGATGGGAGTGGCCGCTGTTTTAGGAAGAAAGTAAAAAGAGAAGGGCGTATAGAGTAATTACATTTATAGGTGTTGATAATGAAAAACGATTCTGAACCTAGAAGTTTTAGGCGTGTTTTACCGTCGGCAACGAGTAACCCAGAAATAAACAAAAATGTGTTACATGACAAATCGCTAATTTTTTACGTTTAACAATTACAAGAAAAATCAAAAAATTACCTATCAAATGTACACCGACTAGATGCAAAAACGATACAAAATATTACTTATACATTTTTTGATTTCCGGTAGAAAAGTTTTTTACAGACACACACAAAAAAAAAAACACATTATAGTAAAACCAACATGTTCCTCGCTTCACTCAGAATTGAACTATGGTATTTTAAGATGTATAAGTGTTAAAAATGTGTGCAAAAGATTGACTGCAGAAATATAGAGGTTGATGCAAATGATCAAGTATTAAAACAATAGTCAATAATCAAAGGACAGTAATAATAATAGCTAGATAATATATCGTTATTTTTTTAAAAAAAGCAAGAAAACCGCAATGGTCAGGACATACTCTCAGATACAATAGTCTAATAACGCAGAATACGTAGTTATCAGTTAGCTCTTGACGGAGGTATCATATCTAGGGTGAGTAGGGAGGGGAAGCGAATGGCCAAGAACGAACGTTACCTTAAAAATCTGCTAGGACCTAGGCACATAAAATGTATTAACAGTAGAAGACGAAAAAGATGATTGGAGACGAGCAGTGGTGAATGGGCAACACCGGTCGGAAGACTGAAATGTCGAATGCTAGTAATGAATGGAAGTGTTATATAGATGGTTTTAGAATGAGAACCTATATTTAAAATTCTATAAACAGACGGAATATTAGATAAAATAAATGTTGGTGTTGACATTTTTGATTTCCGTCAACGCGTTAACGAGATATTCCACTTTTAAGTTTAGGCAAGGCGAGAGTAGTGTAATATAATTTGTCCGGTGGAACAGCGCCTGGTATTCGAATAGGGCTCCTCCAAATGTTGCGAAAAATCCAAGTAAACGAAAATATCGTCTTTAACTATACTTAACAATTCCAAAAATCAGAATGTGAAAAACTCCAGAGAAAATCGAAAAATGACCTCCTTAAAGTACCTGCACACACCGATTTTCTGTCAAAAAAAGTGTTACACTTGAAAATCGGAACAGGTCTTTCGGTAGAAAAGTTGCGAGCAGATGAAAAAAAAATAAACATCTTTGATAAAACCATAAGTTTCTTTGCTCCACTCAGAATCTAAAACGGGATCGGCATGCTTAATCAATTACTTTGCATACAATTCATTAAGAGTTTTAATAGCTACTTGAAATGTTTTGTGGTCTTTTTTTTTTTTTTTTATATACAATAATAAGAATAAAAATGTACGGTCAAAAAGCAAGGGGGCCCAATCACTATTATAATATAACTAGACCCGAGCCCAGTCCACGATTGCGACGGTCCGGCCCAGCGCGACCCCGGTGTTCAGATTAAAATCGACCTTTTTATAATACCATAATTATTATATTCGAAAAATAAATTTAATTGTTTTCGTTTAAAAAAAAAAAAAAAAAAAAATTCGTCGAAATCGTTTCAATTACGCCGTTTACGATGTCTTAAATTAATTTAATTAGCATTTATTAAACGAGAGCGCGCGCAAAACGAACGACGAGTTCACTTCCCGTATTTATATAATAATGCGTAATTAAAAAATGACACGTCGAGACTATTATTTATTATTGTACGAACGCCATTAAAATAATCTTTTTTTTTTAAAGCGACGAAAACTACGACGTCGCATCGTATTATGAAATAGGTAAGGTACTTTGAAATCAAAAACGGCGGCGTAAATAAAAAATACCATACCCGTGTTGGCGAGCGGAATCCCGGCCGCGGGGAACACGAATGATCGGTGACGGTCTCGCAGACCGGGGTGGCAAAACGGACGGCGGGCCGCTATACGCATATAGCTATTGGAAGCCCTACTAACGGGGGAAGGTCCCCCGCTCCCTTCAAGACGATATCTCCTCGCCCCGAGTGTTATCTTAAAAATACAACGGTTCTGATTGTCGGCCCGGTGAATTTTAAATTCGAAATTACCAATATATTTTGGTCGAGTGACGAGGAAAACGGAAAAAACAAAATAAACATACCGGCCGACAAAAATCGGCTTTTAAAATCACTACCCGGAAGCTTAGTAACCCGGACTGTAGAAATTTGAACAGTAGAAATCTGAACGGTACAGACCTGGCGATTAAAATTACAAATCTGGACTAATTTTTGCGCATTTTTTTTCTCATTACGAAAATAACCATCGATTTGCTGTGCAAAAACGGATATTTTTCTTCGGTCGTGTTCTTTTCAGATTCGTAAATATTTTAAATTCCAGGTTTGTACCGTCCAGATTTCTACAGTTCGGGTGCTAAAATTCCGGGCTTGTATGAATCGCTCGCAACACACGAATAGACACGGAATGCGTAAAATTCGTGTGGTACGGCACGCGCGGACGACACCGGCGACTTACGAAAGTCGCCGGGTCAATTTTCGTAACTCTTCCGGAGAATAAAAAAAACCCGTTTTCGGCCCGTTTTATTTTACCCGAGCCGACGGTGTAAATTCAATTTCATCAATTTATCACTATGTACGCTGTTGTCGCGGGACCGCGGACGTTTCCGAAGGGCGCAGGCGACAACAATTATAGAACCCGAACAAAATGGTTTAGCTCGCGTCCAGAGGTCCGAGAAACCAGAGACCGTAAAGGTGATGGGGGCCGTATTGTGCTCGGGTAGAAAAACGTAACCTAACCTAACGGAATGTCCGAAACAAATTGACTCGATTTAAAAATATTGAAAACGCCAATCTACCGGTCCCGCTTTAACGATTCAAACCGTTATCAGCCGTAAGCCCGTAAGCGGCAAGAGCACGGGCGTGTTGAAAACTTTTTTTCCCCCCGAATGTTTTCGTCGACCCGAGTGCAGTTTGACTGCAGTTTGATTATGGCCGTGATCGCAACTGTCGTACCGTACCGATCGGAGGGGACAACGATAGCGTAACGAGCGATGACGTCTCAAGCCCGACCGAAACGGCCAGCGTGGACCGCGTCCGTTCCGGTTCGAGATTCCCGCGGCACGTGACCGGACGTCGGCTTACCTGGATAGTGGGTCCAGAAACACGGCTATGATGATCGTGGCCAGCACGATGCAAGTCAGGTAAATGGTGCTTATCTCGAATATCTCCGAGTCCGGTGGTCTCTCCAGATTGTCGATAGCGTGGTTTCCCATTACGCAAAAGTTGGAACCGCACAGCCGTAGTTCTTCCTCGGACAGCATGGTGCTGTTGTCGCCGCCACTGCCGCCGTGGCCGCCACTGGATAACACTGCGGAAAATTCCCGTTACCGTTACACAGCAAGCGTACAAGTGTATTTGTTCGGGCGTCGCGTGTTTTAGCGTTTTAATATTTACTTTCGGTTATCGAATATTGTCAAACAATTTAATTTAACGGCTACACGGAAAATGACGAGAAAACGTCTCTTCGCATTTTTCGATTAAGGCGATATTTCCGTTAGAAAAAGTCGCCCAAAGACGCGGGAAAAAAGGAAAAAAAAAAAAAAATGAATACCCACATTACAGTACTACTAATAGTTCCCCCGCTACGATCCGAGTCCGAACGATTTAAATTACAACGAGACCCGGAATAAGTACGTTACCGTCAAAACTCACCTAACGAGGAGATGAGATTTCCCCAGAGCTCTGCCGTCTGCCAGGCGAGAAAGAAGAACCCGAAGAACCTGACCACGATGCCGTCCACCTGCTGGTCGGTGAGCTTGGCGTAGACGGCTCCGGTCTGCGTGAGGTACGTGGCTTTAGCGGCCCACATGGGCGCCGCGCCCAGACCCACGAGTACGCCGGCGGGCACCAGCGTGTAGAACCGCGGGTAGAATTGGGCCCCGATGTACGGTATGTAGCACAACATGGACAGGCACAGCGTCCACTTGACGGTCAGCCGCTTGATGAGGAACGTGGGCACGAATATGCAGCTGAGCACGAGCGCGGCGTAGATGGCCGACAGGGAAACGGTTCCCAGGCCCTCCCGCGCGTTTATGGAGCTTTGCAGGTTGGCGGTGCCCTGGAACGCGGTGAACTGGACCATGAACGCCAGACTGATGGTGGACACGTTCTTCAGGATCCGCCACTTCTCCTTGGGCGACATCTTGAACTTGCCCTTGGGCAGATGGTCGTCGCCCGCGTCGTCGTCGCCGACGATCGGCGGCGGTTTCGCCAGGCCCCCGTTGCCGGACTGCTCGTCCTGCTTGAAGCCCTGGTTCTCGTAGCCGCCCACCACCGATATCGTGTACACGGCCACGTCCGGTGGCTGCTGCTTGTCCTTCTTCGCGTTGTTGTTGCCGCCGGCGTTGCCGGTGGCCGGCTTCCGGTGGTGGAACATGCTGGAGTCCACGCCGAAACTCTCCCGGCGGTCCGCGGACGCCACCATGACGCCGTCCGCTCTGCCGCTATATATATACTAGCGATATATACAGCCGCTGACGGCGACCGGACCCTGCAAAACGACAAACACACGGCGATGTATAATACGGAACAACAACGACGCGCGACCCGTTCCCCGGTCGCGGACGTTTCGGGGGTCGACGAACCGAAACCCTTTCCCGGAACATCCGCGACGGAGTGGGAAACGAACGGGCCGGTACGGTTCGGTCGGGTGTGCGCGAGGGCGGTAAACGCGAACCGAAACGAATAGCCTCGGACGCCTCGAACGCACAGCGCGTTGATCGGCGAACCGAGCGGGGAGCGACACCGAGAGTTCGGACGTCGCGCCGGAGACGGTTCGACAGCGCGGCCGAAGGTCTTGGAATGATTTGTGTCGGCGCGGATGATCGAGAACGACGGGAACGGCAAACGGCCCGGGATCGGGGAGGAACAAGACGACGTTTCGAGTTCGCATTTACGGTGGGTTTGAACATCGATTGCAGGCTATTTCGTTTTGGTTTACGGATTCCGAATGCACCGGTGACAATATTTTAGGAATAAAATTTCGGCGACAATAGTAATCTTGGGATATTTTTCCACGTGGAATGTAGATGCGGCGGGATTATAATGTTTCCGTTCTCTCGGTATTAACCTAACCTAACGCACGTCATGCCATCTGATATTACGATATTCGATTGAATCGCCAGACCAAGGCGAAGTTAATACGTTTACCGTTAATAACGTTTAAAGAGTATTACGTAAGTAGACATTTAAAACCGTTAGACTTCACGAAAATGCTCGGAATAAGAAGTTCGTTATAAGTCGCACTCTGTGTTCGAAAAAAACAAAAATAATTGCGTTTATATCGTAGTATTTTTACTTTTTACAATTGTCGAAGTTTTACGAACACCGTTCCGAATCGTTTTTCATTAGCAGCGACGGTTTATCATCGGTGACGTACGGGCGTCAATCAAATAACAGCGGCACACCCGTTCCCGGGTGTATTTCTTGTCCGTTTACCCGACACCGGATCTTTTTTCACAACACTTCCCCGCCGCCGGAACCTAACCCGATCACGTCGGCGGCTGACCCGACCCGACGTCAAAACGTACCGCGCGCGGGGTTGATAGACTTCCGAATACGGAAGTTCCCCGGTCGTAAATGAATGGTAAAACTATTGTTTTTTCGTCGTTCGACGTCATGTCGTAGCGATACAAAAAAAAAAAAAAAAAACCGATATTACGCGTTGGATTTTCGCGTCTCCGAATGGCCGTCCGCCGTACGGGACGACGACTTTAACGACGGGGAACCGGTTCTTGTTCGCGAAATATTCAAACCCGTACCCGTGCGGCCGTATAACACGTAACGCGCATAATACGAACGCGTCCGCGTTCACAACACGCCGAGGGCCGATTCGGCGTGGTGGGGGGGGGACAACAACGTTCGCGGTGTTAGAAAATAATAATAATGAAAAAACAAAAAAATCCGCGACGCCCGTGGCGCACACGTGAGCGTACTCGAGCGGACCGGGCGGGCGGAACGGGCGTAATTATCGCGGATCAGCTCCGAATTCGGGTACCGCCAACCCCCCCACCACCCACCCCATACCCCGCCACTCCGTCGCGCCACCCCGGACGAAATCGGGGAAATCGTATTTTACGAAAAATACCGACGCGGCCCGCACGACGGGCGGGCCGCTGCGACCGTTATTGCCGTAGGAGTCGGGAAACCGGGATGCAGATGGGAATTCGATTTAATACACCCGCGCGCGGCGGTCAACCGTCGCCGACGAAAAAAAAAAATTCGATTCGGAGCGAAGTTTCTTTTATGTACATACGCACGTACACAGTCCCGGGTTTTTCCCGATTATTATTGTTATCCCCTCCGCCTCCCATTTCCGTTCGGGAAAGATACCGTGCACTCGCGAATCGGCGCAGGGTAGAAACGTTGTCGACGGATTTAAAACATCATAATAATGATAATAAACATCATTTTAAAACCAATGCGTTCCTCGCTGCGTTCCGTGTATGAAAATACAATACCGTTGTTGAACAACAAATGGGGCGGAGAGTCGGAGAGAACTACACGGCCGTAATCTTAAACATTTTTTTTTTCTATTTTTATTGTTATCAAATTAACATTCCCGTTTATCCCGTAACGGGGATACTCAGTGTTGAATTCAGAGAATTTCTCTGGGGAGGGCTGACTTTTTTTCATCGGTCATTTCGACGAAAATTTGAAAGACTAACGAGTACTGTACAGCTGTTGTATTTGCCAAGGGGGGGGGGGTCAGGCGAATGCAGTAGCGCACGCAGGATTCTTTTTTCGAGAGGGGTTTTGTTTTCGATCGTTTTCTACGTAGAGGAGATAGCACACATTATACGAGTACAGTACTGTTACACTATTAATACTGAATAAATTATTTTCGATGAAATTAGATTTTATTTTATTCTGTGGTATAAGACTGCGAGATATTATGTTGTTGAATGTAAAAATCGATTTAAAAAAAAAAAAGAAAGTAGTTCGATACTTTGACGTTCTTCTCCTCGTTCGGGCTAACGCGATAGCGGCAAACGTTCGAAATTGAATACGCGCCGCTGCGGTTTTTGTTCCGGACGATTGTCATTATTACAGAATCGCTCCGTATACAGGGGGGATTGGCAATACCGCATCGTGCATAGAGTATCGGGTACGCCGAGCGCACAAACGCACGCGTGCGACGAGAACCAACGCACGCGAAATGATAATATTTATTTTATTTTTATTTTTTTTTTGCGCACGTGCGTGTGTGTGCGAAATAATAATAATAATAATAAAAAAAAAAAAAAAAAACGACGGACGTAGCGGAAAACTTGCGCCGGACAAGGTTACTTTCTCCCGTCGTACATTCCCCGGGAACTGTTGTGCGCGCATTATACGGTATACCTACGCGTAGTAGAACCGTTCTGCCCGCTGCGGGCAGACCTGGCAGACGATCAGACGAGTGAATAATATCGGAGTCAAGGTGATTGGCAACAGTAAATAATATTGTTATCGCCGTAGAAGACTGGCCCGTTATCACTTTGTGATGAGCGCCCGCGACCGCAGTGACGTTACGCGGTCGGCCGAGGAGAGAGATATTGAATTTGAAAACGACCGTGTCACGTTGCATAACGCGCGCGCGCCTAATAATTGTGGGCTGACAATTGAAATTAGAAGAAAAAGAAAAAAAAACAAAAATTTCGATTTACGTATTTTTGCGTGCAATCAATTATGTACGGTCTGCCCCGAAAATTTATCGTTAAAATCGAATATCCGCCGAGTATAATATTGTTTTGTTGCCACTACAGTTGTTAATTATACTGAGTAAATTGTATTTATTCGCGTAATCCATTATAACGCCTTTTTTTTTTTTTTTTTATTACGGCGGCGTTTCGGGCAGGTTTCGTTTCGAACAAAATAACAGATTAAATGATATATATGTGGTTCGGAGTCGTTTTTTTTTTTTTTTATTCGTTTTTTGATTTTTGCCCGTAAGCGAAGGCAGACTATTGTTGGCGAAATGCGATTCTGAACTGAAATTTCAGTTGTTTCGAAATGCCGCGATTCTTACGGTTTTCGGAAATATCTTAATACTCTTACAAAAAAAAAAAAAAAAAAAAAAAAAACTACAATACTATAATATTATTACGCTCGGCTTTTCATCACTAAATACAATTTACAATAAAACCTGTGTTAAATTTTCAAGCACTCCGCAAAGAACTTACCAATTAAATAGGTATTAAACACTCGAAAATACAACATGCCTGTAGTACTACGTTAATAGTACTGCTACAGGCATAAACATAAACATAATAATAGCACTATGTTTAGTACAAGTATTTAGGCCGATTTTCGTAAAACGTTCTCGTCTACGAATATTTTTAATCGAATTACGAGTATAATTGAAAATTGAAACCGTTATTCCCGTAAACTTTCCCGTTCTTTCTGCGTTTTTTCCTCGGTGTTGTCCGACTGTTTAGAAAACTACGCGGAAAATCAAAAAAAAAAAAAAAAAAAAAAAAAAAAACCACTTTCATAAGCACCGAAGACTAGATCCGAAATTTCTAATCGTTTTCCAATAAAGTTGTATAGCCGCGGGCGGTATAAATTCACATCAAATTTTAGTGGCACGGCAAAACGCCGTCCGAAGTGGATCATTTCACTATATAATCGGTGACGAAAAGACACACGCGCGTTTTTGCAAACCTCGGATTTTAAAAATTACGAAAACAAAAACAACAAACGTACGCTATTCAAGCATGAATTCACAATGTTATTACGCGATAGGTTAAAACGAAAAAAAAAAAAAAAACAAAACAATCGTCTCGAACCGGCCGCGGCACACTGGAGGTCGGTGGCCGGTCGTAAATATCTGTAAAAAGAGCGGTTTCCGTCCGGCGATAACGAGACGACCACGACGTCGTCGGACTGGATTTGCATAGTTGATATATGTAAAACACACGCGAGCACCGGTTTAAACGGGTAAAAAAAGAAAAAAAAAAAACTAACCGTCCGCAATCGTATTTCACCGTCCGCAGGTCGGGAATGTCCGGACGGCCGAAAATCCCTCCGTATACCTGTACCCCGATTGTTTATTACTTGCAGTGGCGATAGGACGACGGAAAAATTAATTGCCCGGGGCGCGGGCAGCGTTGTGCTCGCATTGAGTTACGTTTTAAAATGGTATGTCCGCCGGTAAAGACGAGTCTGCAGATATTATCTGAATGACGGCGAAAACACGATTTAATACAATGTGATGATAATCAATCAGGAAACTATTCGTTATCCGGCCGGATAACGATGACGATTAACCGGGAACGTTATCTATGTATCGAAATCGATCGTTTTCGTTTGTGTACTTGTTACGAAACACTAACGAACGCTAAAAGCAGTAAATGTGTACCGGATTCGATACGCATTTAGATTTCGTAAAGGCCCGTGCGGTGCATGTAACACGCAGTTAAAATCGTAGTATCCATTGATCGAACACGCGTGTAAATTAAACGTTTTCCCTGCCGTTTTCAAAAGGTACGACATAATATGGATTGCGATCCGAGAAAGTTTTATCCGTACGTATACGATTCGGCTATTTTCTACTAGGCATAATGATGGCTTGTAGAAAATTCACCTCGATCGGTTACAATTTAACAACGTGCCCAGGTATCTGAGCGAAATCCGCCTAGACAAAATACGCACAAGCGTGCGTGTTAAGATAACGCGTGTGAAATGTACCCGAACATTTTGCAAATGTGATTTGAAACCTGCAATTAAAAACTATTATTTTTTCCCGCGGGACTGTCGTATTGAATTGTCGAATCACACGACTACTAATAATATTATACGCATTACGTATGTACCGCGTAACAGTTTGTCGAATACTATTGTACAGCGCGCGGTTTCGCTCGATCGGTAACGGGACGTATTCTCTTTATTTTTCCACATCGAAAATCTCCCGAGCTATGCCTAATACTACGGCCGTCGACATTTTATTAAACAAATATGTTATTTTTTTTCTCGGTTTTTAATAAATTCAAATCGCGCGATCACATTGAAAGCGAAGCCATTTTGACTAGGTATCTATACTGTTTTACGGGGGAAAAAATGTTTTTTTTTGTTTTTTCAATAAACTAAACCGTTATGTCTGTATGATTTGGTTCATGCAAAAGCGTCCGTCCTTAACGCCATTTTTGGCAAAAACAAGTTAACCGCGGACTTTTAATTTTTAATTTATTTTAACTATAACACCTAGAAACGAAAAGGCGATTTGCGTTAACGACACACACGATATATCCAAGGGGAATTTCGATTCAACAAAAACAATCGTGTTAGTCAATGTCACTTGAAAAATGAAATAGGGCTGCGTACAATAGGCGTTTCCGTTTAAGAAAAATCGAGTTTTTTATGCGCACGCGAAAATACGCTCAAAACGTGTATCTCGGAACTATCGACCTTCTTAACCCCTCCTCCTCCCCCCCCCTCTTCCCGTTACAGTCCAAGACCGAATTCGGCCGAAATGTTTCGCGGTCATCGTTTGAATGAATAAATTAAACGCTGTATGCAATAGGTTAGATTATTTATAGGCATACCCGAAAAAATAAGTGTTGACTGTTCCAATAATAGTAACAACAATAATGGCGAGTAAAGAATTGCTCTTCTTCGCCTCCCACTCGGCGGCCTGTGCGAGCATAGTTTATAATGATTTACAAATGTTTGTACACGTCGTCTAATTATTCTTAAAATACACGCAATATCATATTCTACCGTCGAATGTGCGCAATTGGTGATGTATACCTGATATTATGGTAATTTTACATAGGAACGAGTCCATATTGGATATTGGATTTCTGTCGTAGAAACGAAACCGTTAAAATTAATATAAAAAGCTAAAATACCAGCCGCTGGACCTTTGGTCCCCGGAAAGAAGGGCTCGAGTTATTTTCCACGTTCTTTTTTTATATATAATTTTTTCTTATGCAAGTAATTTTTACCCTTTATTCTGTGATCAAAATGATAGAATAAATGTGTGTGTGTGTGTGTATATTTTAATGCGCTAATTGGAAAAATAAAAAAAACACCGACCGCGAGACTTATAAACAAAATTTGCGCCCATTGCAAAGGTTGGGTTTTTAGGTTTCGTAATTCAACACTTGGTCACTAATACAAAATAAAAGTTACCGTAACTTGCTCGGTTACTATAAATGAGCGGACTTGGCCATGTATTTGATATCGTAACCGTCACGCGTTAAAACGATTATTGCTCGGACTTAAAGGTCTTAGAAACTTCATCAACAAAAACATTTCTAATCAAATGTCTTTTGATATTAGAAAATCAACCGAAAATTGTAAACAACGAAACATACAAAATGAACGGTTCGGTTTTATTACACACGAGCCGAATCACGTACTAGGAAAGTTTCATTTGAGCTTCAACTGAAAAAAAAAAATTGCAATTAGAATTGAAATCCGCGGGGCCCCAATAACAATACCTATTACGGCGTATCTCGTAAATTATAAATAAAATATTCGTGACCTGTGCGCGCAAAATGTACGCCGAAATGTATTAAAACGAAAATGGTATAAAAATCGTTTCGGACCAGTTTCATCTCGGATAGGCGGAAAGAAATAATACAGTGCCCCTCTCCCTCCTCTGTCTGTCTGTCTGTCTCTCCCTCTCTCTCTCTCTCTCTCTCCCTCTCTTTCACTCTCTCTGCTACAACTTGTATAAACGATTTACCGACGTTAGTGACCCGCGCGCCTGCAGTCTTAGACCGTAAAATCGCGTCTTCTCATTGTCTCGGCACGTTTAAACGTTCGTTGTACTTTTCGAATACAAATGTCGTCGTGTACTCGTGTATTGTAAATTACGATTATTACCAACGTGTAAATCCGAAAGAAAAAACGAGCGCTGTAGAATACGTGTATAAAAAAAAAAAAAAAGAAAAGAATGAATTTATAGGCGTCGTCGGTGATGACGAACCGGCGATATTATCAGCGGGTTCACGACTATGGATTGCCGACAGACGGAAATGAATTGAATAACTGTCGATTCATATCGTTTAAAGTGCGACGCGCATAACTGTCGTTCGAAATCCAATCATCCATATGGGAACTATTTAACGGTTCAGTTTGTCGGTTTGCCGCCGCTCGTTTCAATGACAGAAACCGTTTCAGACGTATAAACGTGATTACGCGCACGTCGAGTCGGGGCCTCGGGACGAACCGCGTCCCTAAAAAAATATAAAAAAAAAAAAAAACCCGGACACTATTACCGGAGACTGGTGTCCGGAGGAGATAACATGCCCGTGAACCCGAGCGAAATCGCACTGTTGATCGACTGTGCGCTTTGTGCGCCGACGCGTTGAACGCTAACCGCCACGGAACGCGGTCCGGGGTTTTTTCGTTTTTCTCCCGTACGCGCCGTGGCGCTAACGTTCGGCAAACGATAACGCGACGCCGATCGAACGCGGTGCGAACGGGTGTCCACCTGGACGGCCAACGCACGGCCAACGGTATCGCGCGGTTGTAAAACCGAACAGCGGTCGGCGGCCGTCGCCGTCGGCGGAAAAACCGTCCGGCGCGCGCGGTACCGGTACGACATCGGTATCGGACTGTCGACGGACACACGCTGTTGTCGTTTTTCGTTTGCGCGCCGGAGACGGACGTCTTTCGCATACCGTTTGCGAAACGAGTTTGGGAAATAATAATCCGGACCCGGGCGCTGCGGACTGCTTTCTAAAATAATAACAACAACAACAACAATAATAATCACGCACTCGTCGTCGTAACGCTGTTATTTAAATAATTTATCATTATTGTATTGCGAATTACGAATTGTTATCGTTATACGACGTGTCCGACGAATGTGTCATACAACTCGCGAGATCATATATTATTATTATCATCGTCGTCGTACATCTCGTATAGAGACGGACGCGGCCGGCTGTTTGCCGACACTCAATAAGAATGCTCGACGGACCGATCGCAGTGTACCGCCGGGTTCTTTTGATCACGCGGCGTTATCCGTTGCCGCGGGAGTCTCTGTTTCTCACTCCGATCGGTAAATAACATTCAGTGCGTTTTCCTCCGTGAAACCGGCGATAATTGTTACGCAACAACCGTAATTTCGATCGGCAAATAAAATAATGTCTATAGAAACTGGCGCATACGGAGATTACGCCGCGTCGGTTTCGTTAGTCGATACGCAATAGCCGTAAGTACGAAATATAAAATTGGCCGCGTGTCCAGAAATGTAACTATTATAGAAAAAAAACGGACGTTTTTTTTTTTTTCTTCGACTGTACAATTTGGCGTTTCGGCGTTTACGCTTTTTGCTAAATAGACTGACTTTTACGGCTGACTATTGCTGACTGTACTTATTATGGGTGTATTCGTCGGATGAATCTTTTTCGCCGATCGAATTCGGAATTGAGTGATCAGAACGGGAAAAATATCGTGCGTGTATAAGCGAAAAGCGCTGCTATATAGATATTATACTGTTTATGTTTTATCAACATCTTAGTCTGGTATTAGATTGGTCAGATACGTCGTTATTGTTTGGTAGAAAATAAGGTGACATTTGGTGCTTTATTCATTGAAACAAGCCTTATTCGAACATTTCGACTTTATCGCATATTTTTTTTCCGATTTTAAATTGAATTACGACTTTTTTCTAATAATTTTTTTTTAATTTACAGAGAAATTAAGTGGGTTGTGTACATATGCGATAAGGTGCTGGTGATTATCAAGAATTTATTTAATAAATTACGGTTGAAATCGAATTGATATAAACTTACACGTGAAGCGGGTCTAATATGGGTAGTTGTTCACGCCAATTTAATTGACTGCGATTCATGTATCATGTGTCAGATGCAGTGAAAAACTGATAAAGCTTATCGTATTATGACCATACCGTACTAAACAATTACTATACAAATTATTTCATATTTTCATAAAAAATAATTAGATACAAATAAAATGAACAAATATCTCGTGTGCATGGTGCGAATGTAAATTTTCTTAAATTTAAAAATTGACAATTTTACCGTGATAAAGTGTGGCTGGGTTCCTCTTTTCCAAAAAAAGAAAAAAAAAAACAAATTTCTGTTTTGGTAACATAGTGTATAATCTCTGTTTTCTAATGTAGGGGCGAAAAAAACATTATGCCTCTGGACACTTTAATGCGTAGCTGGATCAAGTCAAAAATGTCGAAAAGTCTCGATTAAACTTGATGGTGGAAAAGAAACACGTCTATAACAAAGTCCTAAATCGGACGAACACTGAATATCACCGCATTCGATCCCCTTAACAGTATTCGCTTATACAATATGTAGACTGATAACACGATGGTTGGGTTGTGTGAGCTGTGAATCTTAATGCACTTAATGTTTAAAAACAAAAATGTTTAAATCTCGTCCCAAAAAAAGCAGCTCAAACGGTTCAGAGACTACTTTATCGGTGAATAAAAACGCTCGGATCTGTTCACTCGGTTTCTCAAAATACGCGGACATTCGCGTCGGTGGTACTTTACTCGAAACGTGTTTCGCCATTCCCCATAGTTCGTCCATTAAATCCATTTTTGTTTTTGTTTTTTTTTTTTTTTTTATCGTGAAACATTTTTTTCCATTATTGAAAATGTAATTGGACGTGTTGGACGCGGAGCCAATGTAATCGCGCACAAAGAACATCATTATAATAATTAGACATAATAATAAATACGCACGTTTAATGGGTTTCGTTTAATTTTTTTTAATTTATATTTTTCTTATAAGCTCGATTCGAATAATATACAGATAGGTAGATGAAGTCACATTATTAAAATGCACATACACACTCGGAGCTATTAAAAAATACGAAATAAAAAAAATTACACGAAATTACATAGTTTATATAATTAAATTTCTGTTGCTACACTGTTTAACATATCTCGCGGTTACAATACAATATGATTGTGTTTAAATATATAATAATATTATTATGATCGCGAGTTTTTAAATTTAAATAATACGAATTATTTTTTATCGATTTCCACAGATTTGTTTTTAAAAAAAAAAAGTATAACTAAATGTATACTTAATACGTATAATTATATACGAAAAAAAAAAAAAAAAAAACAAAAACGAATAGTATTAGCGAAAAAAAAAAAATTCGAAGGTCGAATCCAACATCGCGATGGAAAGAAAAAAAAAAATACAAAAAAAAATTAGGTACCTATATTATAGTTTTTACGAATCGCGACGGTATCCGTATTAAAATAATAACCATATATGTTATTATTATTATTATTATCGTTATTATTGTTATTATCGCGGCAGAGGAGCGTCGTTGTACAATATTCGCGCGCGTATTATTTATTACAAAGTCGAATTTTCCACGGTCGGACGAAAAAAAAAAAAAACAAAACAAGATTATATCGAGAAAAAAGCGTAAAAATACGTTTCGATTCTGGCATTCACGCGGTCCCGAATTATACCGTGCGTTATTGCGTTGGCGTCATCGTGTTGTACGCATTTTCGAACGTCGCCCACACCCGCGCACGAAAACGGATGCGCGTGGAAGAACGATCGCAAGGGGCAGACGCGATGCTGCGGAAACCGCCGGGAATACGCGTTCAAAGCGCCGTCTGAATAACGATAAAAGTTTCAAAAAAACCCGTCGGAAATCGTCGCCCGACGCTCGAAAAATCCGAAAGGACGCCGGGGAAAAAAAAAAATTAAAATAATATTGCGAATACATCGAACCGTCTTGGCCGGTCGGTTCGGGGCGGTACAGCCGAAAACGCGTCGCGGCCGCGCACGCAACGCGCAAGACAAATGCGAACGACTACCCAGGATCCGTATTGTTAATAACCGTACACTCGGAACGGTCGTCTATCGGCAACTACGCATTTTCGAAAGTCTCGCCGGTGCAGAAATCGCGCACGGAAATCGGTATTCTGTTTCCAATGTACGAAAAAATCATCACTCGTCGTGGGTCGACGCGAACAGCGCATTCGGGTAAACAGACCGCGTGACGCACAAAGCCGTTGGTTTCGCGAGATCAAAATAGGTGGAAAACTCGTCGATTATCTCGGTCCCGCGTGCCCCGACGCATCGCCCGTCAACACCGAAACGGATACGCGCACGCCGACCGCGGGAATCTCAAAATGTTTTATCGCCGTAAATGAAATGACCGTCGGCTGGTCGTTCGGTCAATAGCTGGTGCGCTGTTTTTTGATGTTTTACAATTATTTCGCGCACGCGTGTAGTACGTACGACCGTATCGACAAATATCGCGTTTATATATATTTTCGGATCGTCAATTTAATTCAAGCGATTGTTATTACGGGCGATACGAATCGCCAGTCTCTACCACCGACACGAGCGCGGCGGTAGATTCTTTTTGAAAAAAATCACGCGTACACGCGATGCACTCTGCGAAACTACTCGACCGATTTCACGCGCGATTCGGCCCGACTTAAATGATACGGTCCATACAGTATTGATATCGATTAACTACGATTGTCCAACAACAGCAAACCGGGTTGCCGGGTCGGCTAGCATACAAACACACAGGATCGTCGTTGTAGGCGTCGAGCCCGATCGGGAACGAGTAACCCGTGCGATATTCCCGGTCGAGAACCGCGGAGCCGCGCGATTTTTCAATCGGGCTCGGCGGGCCCGGGCGTGAAAGCGTCCACTGTACGAACGTCCGAACGAACTGTCGCGTTTTTTAATATTGCCGAAAAATGTTGCAAATACGATTCGGAAATAATCCGTTCGGTTTCCCGTTCGGACACGCCGGCGCAACGCGATTCGACGAGAACCGGCGAAACCGGCCGACCGAAAGTACGAAATATTATGTACCGACAGCTGTGCTCGCGACTAAAAGCTTATATTATTAATTCCTCGAGAGTGTTTGACCGGTATCGTCAAAAGTGCGGGGTAGAGTAGATAAAATACGATTTACTTTATCGCTGGATTTTTTTTTTTTTTTTCTGTTTTTAAGACAAAAATTACAAAATCGAACGGGTTTGCGATACGATTTGCCGACGACGTCGAAATCATGATAAATTAGCGTTTTAAAATTGAATTTCCCCGTTGCAGGGCCTCGTCCCGCGCGCCGTTATCTGCGTCGTGGCAACAATTGATATCTCCCGGTGAAATAAAATCAACCTATACGGACGAACACCCGCCGACAATAACCGCGTGGCCTATCAAATTACGAAAATGGCACTCCGCGTGACCCAATACCGTTGATAATATAATACTATACGCGGACGGCCCGCGAAATAATATGGTAAAATCGGTCTGGATCCCACGGGCGATGGCCGCGTAATTGAATTATAATTCCGTGTTCAACGCCGTCGATGACTGTACGGAAAAAGTAACGATACCAGCGCGAGAGTCTAGAAAAGAAAAATAATGATTTTATCCCCTTACCCTCCCCCCCCATCCCGTTCAACGGGAATATAACGCGCTACTCTATATACGTGGAAAATCGAAAAAATTACCCGCCCAACGCCACACCGACCGGACGGAAAAAATGTCTTTCGGTCGGAGCGAAATTCGCGGTATAGAAAAGTACACGGATCGGGTACGCGCCGTGTACAGAGCAACTCTGAGGCTGCAACCCTCCACGAGCTTGACAGGGCGGAGTTCAGCCCCCCACGGTTCTCGTTAAAAAAAAAAAAAGAATCAATATTTGTCATGCACCTACCATCCTCGACATGACTGGTACTTTACCACAGCCGGGTTCTGTGATTTTTCAATTTTCGTCTTGTGATTTTCCGTGACGCTAATGCTATGAAAACGTTACCGACACAGGTGCGAAACAACGGAAACGACTGTATTTTCAGCGATTATTGTCTAACGGACAATTTTTAGGAAATGAACAACGGTAACTCTCTGCGCGCGTGTTTATAAAACGGCGAGCCGTGACATGTTCGAAACCCCGCGGCTCCGACGCGGATGATCGCAGGTGCGGCGAAAACCGCTCGTCGTCCGCGACGTCCGGGGCCTGGAGAGAAAAAAAAAACGGAGAAAAAAACGTCGCCGGGAGATTCTCCGTTAAACTTGAACCGCGCGTATTTCAAGGTGTAGGTTAACGTCGTCGCCGTGTCAACCATTAAACACACGTGTGTGTGTGTGTGTGTGTGTGTAGACATTTTTTGTTATTATTATTTCAAACGTAAATAAATTATTAGTAGTTTTTTTGTTTTATATTTTTTTTTTTTTATGTACCTATATAATATATATGTGTGTGTGTGTGTGTGTTGTTACGAGCGGGTTTTTCGACGCGCGGTCTCCGGGCGACATCCGCCGCCGCCGCCGTCGTCCTCGGATGATAACATCGTCTACATATGTATACAGTGGCAAAACGGGATTTTCGTTTTGCATAACAGTAAATATTTATATATATATATATGTATATATACGTGTAATATATTAAAGAATTACCTATACGTATTCGTACATACGTTTTCTTTGCGTTATTATTACGGTGATAAAAACCTTGAACTTGACGAGAGAACGCGTCAGCGCGGCGATCGTCGGACGGCGGGTGTCGCGGTGGTCGCGGTGGTCGCGAAAGTAAAGCGCGCAATAATATTATTATTACACCGGATATATTATGGTCGGGGGGAGAAGAGAGAAAAAAACAAAAAAACGAAAAATGTGTCGACCCGCGGCACCCGGGCGTAATGTTACCGTCGAAGCGCCGCGAGAAAACGAAAACGGTCGACCGCCGCCGTGTGTATGCACCACGGTACGCGCGCGATCGCGGACATCGCGGATTTCACTGACCGGCTTTTACGCTTTTTACCGCACGCGCGTGTGAACACCGCGATATCCGACACCCGGCCGTTTGCCGTTGCCGGTGACAATGGCGGCGCGGCAGACGAGATAGTAAAATAGTAACCGCGCGGATCACGGTTTACGATAACAGTTTTTCCCCTTGTCCCCCGCGCGGACGACCGAACCGTATTGTCGCCGTCGATCCGACTGTCGCGATTGTTCCCGCGGAGGGTTCTCCGCAATTCGTTTGAAAAAAAAACAGCCGCCGGCTGTGTCGTAGCTTCTTTTTTTCTTTTTTCTTTTTTTTTACCGGGCCGACAAAGGTTTTTCCTAAAATCGGTCGCGTACAGTTTTTCGACCGACGTTCAACACGGGTTTCGATGTTTACCCGATAATCGGCGGTCGACGAAACGCAGTCGGATCGGTTTCTCTGGAAAACACGATAGTAATAACACCCGTTTCATGGACATTACGGAAATCTATTGCACGCGTATTATCGATACACTAGTATTAATACCAATGTCAATGTGTTTTGACGTTACGTTTTTTACGTTAGGAGAAATGTGCGAAATTCGTCGTGGCTTACCGGAATCAAATCGCGAATTCAACCGAATGTCGAAGTGTAATTTGTAGTTGTACTGTTTTTGTTTTAGCCTATAGTAAAACAAAATAATATGTGGCCAGAGTTCATTATCGGAAACGTCAAATGTAAATAGATTGTCGTTAGGCATACTATATTAAAAAATAAACATTTAGAGTGGGTACTAAATTTTATTCGATTAACGGAAATAAAAAAAAATTTCCCTCGTATAAGTCGAAAAAGTAGCGCGCTACTTAGAAAAAGCGCCCTATACTTTAAAAAAAGTAGCGAAAGTCGTGGGGAACCCATTGTAATCGATAATTGTAAAGAACTTTTTTTTAACAATTTACCGATAGTGAAGGTAGCGCCGCGCTGCATTGAAAGTAGTGATTTCCGACCATTACCCGTAGTAATATTATAAAAAGTGTAAAAAAAAAATCCAGATGGCTGATCGACAGTTCGTCTATTGTAGCGGTATACTCGTCGTCGCCACGTACCCTTATTGGTAACATTGCTATACAAATACGGAGAAAATGTTTTGAAATGTCGCGGTGTTCAGGATCTCCGTCGAAATTAAACCCGCGTGTAAAAAGTTGGCAAAGCCCTACGATATTGCACTGTTACTATACACAACGTCGATCGAATTTGGTTACCTAGTATATTATAATTGTGCCTACGTGTAGTAACCTAAATAAATTATAACTATACCTACATATATTGTAATGTGCGTCTTTTTTTTTTTTTTTTATGATATTGGCTAGTATTAATTAATATTTAATACCCATATTCAAATAAATAACGATAACAATGTATAATAACAACAATTTATGATAATTACACAACAATTATATTTAAATTAAAAATAATAATAATAATGGGATATAAGACGCTCTGAATGTGTGTGTTCAGATAGGTAAAATCGACTACATTACGCTGCTCGAATTTTCACCGCCGAGTATTCGTACAACTCGGAATGAATCTCCACCAATGTTGAATTTTCGAGCGTTTTCTTTGAATTTTATCCGATAGAAAAAAAAAAAACATAAATTTGTTCAGTACCTAAAAATTAACTAAAAAACAATCGTCAGAATGTTTTCGAAATTTCACCGCGCACAGGACAGGCTAATAGTGGCGTAGTTTATTAATGTTTGGGGGGGGGGAGGGGTTGATGAAATGTTTGTACATTTTACCTATTACCTACCCAACCTCCTGCAAAAAATTTGGTTTTTATCATACAAGCATCTCTCAATACAAGTATACAACCATTGTGATCTGTGTTCATCAAAACAAATAATACCATAATATTTAAATATTTACGTTTCAACTTTAATTTTATTGGTACTTATAGATTCATCACAAATCACTATAAAAAATCGTAGATCCTAATTCATTGAGTACTTCTCCGGGGTCAATTATAACATTTTTTATGAACATAGCCAACACAGCAAGACCACCACTTGGTCTTAATCAATTCTGCGGAATAGAAAAAAAAGAAGAATTATACTTAAATATTGTAATCTCCACCACAGAAAGTTTATGGAAAATATTGAATATATTTCAATTAAGGTTCAAACCTCAGACATTGTGTTTCTTAAATATGTTTTCACTTTTTTCAGAGTTGAAAACATATGTTCCGGTGATAACTTTGACACTGGTAAAGTGCATAGCACTTTTATAAGAACATAAATATTGGAGCTGGTGTCTTTATTACAAATATCTCGTTCCCGATAGACTCGATCCCGGTATTTGGTATTTTTTTTTCAGATTAATTTTAGAACACTATTAAAAAAATCACGTGTTTTTTTTTTTTTTAACTTTCTCGGCTCTAATATAATTAACACAATTGATTTACATTCCATACAATAGTTATTTAGTATGAACTGGGCATGAGAATTCAGGATTTTTTGTGTTATTCCTATATAAAATATACCGTTGTACCGTAAAATTAATGTATAAATGTGTTTGACAGTTAAAACAAAAGTCCACGGGAGGGTGGTGATGTACGACATACGAATTCCCCTTCCCCTCCTTAATTACACCACCGAGCAGGATAGTATTCTGTGAAAAATATCAAGTCACTATATGATCATTTGTAACATAATTACAGCAAAAAAACAAAATCCAAAACACAACGAGATTGTTATTGCCGTAAAGATTCTCATTTTTCTCAATTATTATTAAAATCAACTACAAAGACAATCAAAATACGGCCTTCTCAGTTTTCCATCGAATTGAGACTTTCTTTTCGAAAAGACGTTGTATTTGATCTTGCGTCTAGTAGAAAAGCGGTTAACGGTCCGAAAATAAAAGAAAACATCACAGTAAAACCATTGCGGTCTTTACAACCCGCGCAGGAACACCGGTTCAACGATGAAATATCGCACTGAACATGTTAATACAATAACATTATTATGTCTACCTCGTCGCAGTAATCTGATCGTTGAAATCCGCAATATTGTAATGTTCTATCTCGCACTGCAGACGTCCAGTGGGCGAGGACTGTGGCGAGATGGGTTGGGCTGTCATCGCCCGGGAAAATTCGGACTGATTGAATTATTTCGGGCGGGAGGACTGTAACAATCGAACAAATGTACGGACGGTTTTTTTTCTCCCGTTTATTTATACAACGACTTAACGTTTTTCGGTTAAAATTGCCGGATTATCGTTTCCAGTATGAAATAATGTTGCTTGCGCGTTAATATCGAACACGCCGTGCCGAAATTTCTGTTCCCGGTCCACCCTTGCAGACGTCCCCGTCGATTTTGACGATTGCTGCCCTCTGAATCGCGACGACGGCGCGGTGTTTGTTCGCGCACACTCGTGAATCGCCTCGTCCGTATAAAACGATACCGTAATATTAATACGATCCTCGCGGGAGACCGCGACGTTTCCGCGTAAAAAGTTTCCTGCGGTGACCGTCCTCATCTAACTTCGTGGCGACCAAAGGCGGTCCCCGTTAATTTCGAGTTCCCACACGTTGTCGATAATCACAAGTTTTTCATTTCGTTTGAACGGATCGTCGCGTTTGTAAAAACGAGCGATCTCTTTCACTCGCCATTTGTATTACACGCTGCAGCATTATGATAATGCCAATACCGTCATTATAACCGAGAAAACCCGCAGTAATAACATTTTCGAGCATTTATACGGGGCCAAACATGTTTTATCCACATAAATCGAAAAAAAAAAAAATGTATAGCATTATAAAATACGTCCAGTATACACTATTATAAACAACTAAAAAAAAAAATTGCACGAAATATTTCGAATATTGTTTTATATATACTGTCATGTCGTATGTAGAAAATGCGATAATATTGTCCGTCGAAAGTTTCGGGTAACTTGAAACTATACAGAGTTACAAACGAAATACAAAACCAATAACCCGGTGTGTCGCCTGAATGTTCCCGTTTTCCCAAATTATTTCATTTTCTCGGTTTGCTACACTATTATACCGAGAAAAATACGAAAAAATACTCGAGAATCACCACTTTTAAGTGTACAAAAAAGTCTCTCTATGACGTTTTTGTTCGGAACAATCAGCAAATAAGTTTTCCGGCCGCCGAAAACTTTGCGGCAAGGCCAGGGACGTGATACGACTTTACGGTTAACGACGGGTCTTAGTAAAATAATAAAAAAAAAATCATTTGGCCCACAGACGAGTACACATTTCGAAAATGTTTGACAGAAGAAAAAAAAAACAATAGCCGATGTATTATTATTATTATCTACGGATTTTGTCTTTTTTTTTTGCCATGAATTCGGCCCAACCAAACGAATTTGTGCACAATTTATTGCCTTGCTGAAACAGTTTTACGTGGACCCAGGGAAGAAGGGATCGAGTCGATTTCGTATAGTTTTCGAGCGAATTAAATTTTCAAACATGTCTACAAGTCTAAAATGTTTGTGTTGTTAGTTTTCCGCGGCAAACAAACGCGTGGTATAATATAATATTACGGAGTAAATATTCAGTAGAGACTGCGATGATTGCACTCACGTCAGTTTTTTTTTTTTAAATTTTTTACTCGAGTCTCTATATACACGACCGCATGTAGCATACACTTTTTGTGCCATTTAGATTCTACTTTTCGACTTTCGACTTGGGTACACATATTATACACTTGATTTCAAAGGACCGACAACAAAGTATTAAAGGTAACGAAGGTCATCACCTCCGTTACCTTATTATCTTCATTGTCATTTACCAAACAATAATAAAATGTCCGGTTTATTAATTAAAAGGCCCGAGTTGACATAACACGAATAAATTTATCGATTCGTTCTTCGTTCTAAACGGAATATGTATTATAATATAGGTGTTTAATGCGATTTATGGCCTTTTATTTGCCAAACTCAAAGTACGTTGTGCTATATTTTACGGTGACTTAAACGGCGCCGGTTACACGAACGACGCAAATTACACAAGACAAAACGATAATAATAAAAAAGAAAAAAAAATGCCGAAAATCGCTGGAGCCCTTCTGTTCCCCGAGACCGAAAAATCCGTCGGCGATTATGTTCGAACCCGATTGTTTTTTTACTCGTTTCTTTTTCGTTGCGTGTGCACTGTGCACGTTACGCTCAACTGCAGTTAATCGGGCTTATTACAGACTTTAGATTTTCGACTTTGTTTTCTGACGAGTTACGCCCGGTAATATGGGTAGTTTGGACACGACGCATAATATTTTGAATGTGTGAAATCGGCCAACGGAATCTAACGAATTATCAACTAGAATATTATAATTACTTTCCAAATATTCGCTGTCGTCCTATACAAATTCGTTTCGGGCATTTTCGAACGAGAATAAGACATTCTGTTTTAAAGCGATTTTGTCAAATTTTTTTACAGGTTTCCGGGACATTTTCGCACGTAAAATTCGAATTAGAAATTTCATTTCGAGATTTCTACACACCAGCGAGGTGTTCATTTAACAAACCAATAAACATTTGCGTACAACGCAGTCACTCGTATTATAATGATACTATTATCGGACAATGTCAAATTTCAAATACCCAGATGATAAGCGGCTCGTTTTGTTACAAATTCGTCGTGTGTATTTTTTTAATGAGAATAAGAAATTTAATTTTCCATTTTTGATTCCAAAGTGATTTTTAACTTTTTGGGCTAGAAAGCATTTTTTTTTTTTTTTTTTAATTAAAATTGTGCTCAAATATCCGAATCGTCGCGTGTATTACACGAAAATTAAAATTATTTACCCGAAAAACGTTTTTTTTTATTATTATTATTATTAAAAAAAAAAATTGAAATCATATCGCGGCGAAACTGCAGTCGTTAATTATTATTATTATTTTAATCACGCGCAACTGTATAGTCGCAGCGGCTTTAGTTTGACGGTATAGGTATATCATTTTTTTTTTCTGCAAGCGGAACGCATTGTTTAAAAAAATTTGATAAAACAAGAATTTTTTTTTTTTTTTTCCACGCTTCGCACAAGACGAGGTTAAAACGCATGGTATAATAATAATATGAAAGAAATATTATAATATTATATTATTTATGTTATACACAAAATAATAACATTCAAATGCACTTCGATGAACTACGCGCGATAATAATGATAGTAATAATAATAATAATACGCACCTGCAAGAATACCGCGTACCCGTTGGTTTGTTACGAATTTATTATTATGATGATAACGTTATTATTGTTCGAAATTTCGTACTGAAATTGTATTATTGCCGCAGCGTGTCGCGCGTTTCGCACTCGTCATCCGCATACCGCAATGTTTCGCATCGCGAATAGATATCGTCGTTGCGTAAGTCGCAGTAAGTCGCCCGAAGAAATTTATCGCATTTAACAGCGGATTTCGCGAAAACTGTCGGTTTTGTAACGTGCGCACGTACGTGCGGGGAGGTTTCTTTTTTTTTTTTTTCACAATAAAATATTGTATTGCCGTTGAACTATTATTACCTTGTGATCGCGTTCGGTGCGGCGATGAACAATTCCGTTGCTCAGGGTGTCATTTGTGATGCGGAGACGTGATGATGCGCGCGCGGCGGCGGCGGCGGCGGCTCCGGCTCCGGACGGCGTACGCGGCGCGTACTTACCTACCCTGTGTACGCGGGGCCGAGTCGCGGTTCGGCGATTCGCACTTTCGGCCGAAACTCAAAGAGAAAAGAAAAGAAAAAAAAATGTGTTTTTTTTTTTCTCCAAAAATCGCGGACGTTCACGCGATATACGGCGGCGCGGCGTTTACGTTACGTTGTTAACCGCTGGATTGATGCGTGCGTTACGCGACCGTGCGTTCTTTTATCGTTTTTCCGTGTTTCGTACGGTATCGTAACAATATTTCGTATCGTTTCCCAAACCGGTGCTCAAACGACGACGGCGGCGACGATAATAGCCGGGCGATAATGGCGGCGGCGGTCGTTGATGATGGTGACGGCGATAGTAATAAATAATGATAATGGCGATAATAATGCGACGGAACGACGACTGCGCAACGACGTGTTCGCGCACCCGATAACCGTACGAGTCTGCGGGCAACGGACAGCGGTCGTGTTGTAGACGCGCGCCAGTACGACACTGACGCGAAACGCCTGCACCGTCTCTATACCTGTGCGTGTGCGTCGCGGCGAAGTGGTGTGTGTGTGTGTGTGTGTGTGTGTATGTGTGTGTGCGTGCGCGCGCGCGCGTGTGTGTGTTCGCGCGCGCTTGTGTCGCGTGTATGTGCGCGTGTTTGCGGGCGCGAGCGAACGTATTTGTGTGTGTGTGTGTGCGCGCGCGCGTGTGTGCGTGTATGTGTTCGATTGTAGGTCAAGCGGAGGAGACGCGCGCGAACGTCGACGGCGACGACGGCGACGACGACGACGACGACGACGACGACGACGACGACGAAAGGCGGCGAAGCGGCGGACCGGACGGGACGGGACGAAGACCGCGCGGCGATAGGATATCGGCGGTCGGGTTTGCGGGCCCCGGAACGTACGCGAGCGCGCGACGCGACCGAGACTCCGGCGCGGCACGATACACGCGATACGATAATATTGTTTTGTTATTGTTTTCGTTATTGCGGCGCGAGAGGAGACCCGTCCGCCGGAGACTTGCATACCCGCGGTCCGCCGTGCAGTTTGCGGCCGAGAGACGAACGACCGCGTCGCGTCGCGCCGCTTTTTTTCCGTTTTTTTTTTTTTTTTTTTTTTTTTTTTTCTCTCTTATTTTTTCCTTTCCGCGCGAATATCCGCCGCGGCCGCCGTCGTCGTGCGGCGGCTCGTGCCCCCACCGCGGGCGCACGTGTAACGCGCGGCGTCCGGGGAGAAGGTCGACCGGACTCGCCGCCGCCGACTGGAAAGTCGTTTTCGCACGACCGCGCGCGGTACACGCCACCGCTCGCGTATTGTACGCCGTGATAATATTGTTGTCGTGTGCGTACGCGCGCGCGTATTCTTCTCTCCGAATTATTATTATTCGCCGCGGTCGCCGTCGTCTGTCCGTCCCGGGGGAGGGGGGGGTGATGCCCGCGACAATTCCCCGACCGAACCCTGTGACAAGTATTGACGAACGACGGTCGGGTTCGTCGGCGACGTCGCGGTAAGTGTATCCGCGGGGGCCGGGTGCGGTCGCGCGGCAGATCCGACGCAGTGGCCCGCGCGGAGAGCACGTATAGTCTAATCCGGATTCTCGGGTTCAATCCGTGTGATCCGGATCGGTACATTAAACCCGGATCGCGGTGTTCGTAACGTTTGTTACGATCCGGACCCGGCGCTCGGCACCAGTACGTACGTACGGTCGTCGTAACGATAAAACGGGTCGGCCCTAAACCGGTGGATGAGAACCGCCGCCGCCGCCGTACAGATTTTCAGAATGCCCCGGCCAGTTCTGCGCCCGACGAGGAGCCGACCAATCGTAACGCCTGACCGCGCGAATGTTCCGAACACGACGGGGGTTTCGCTTCTTTCGAGGATTTCGCGTTTCCCGCGACCGCGGGGGACGGGACGACGAGCGGTCCGGGGCGCGCGTTACGATTGTCGCATTCAACGTTCGATATTCGACCGAACCGCGATGGTAACAACGGCAATACAGCGCCGGAACGCTGTTATCGATAGAAAAAAATTCAAAAAAATCTGTCTTTGGACAACGGGGAAGTTGAGAAGGCAGGACATAGAAGCGAATTCAATGTGCGTACGCGTAATCAACGGTTGACCGCCGTTGCTAACGAAAAAACGATCTGAGCGCAGTTCAGTCGACAGTGATGGTTTGTTAACGACACACACGGTGTCATATTGCGGTGAAATAATTTAAAATGGGCACGTGTACGTGTTTTCTTTAATAACATCTGTTTGATTTTCTGTACCGGTTTTCCTATGTTTTTCACATACGACCGGAAAACTCTTGGGAAAAACCGAAAAATGACCAAAAAACACGCGCACGCGCACATCCGCGCAAAACCGATCCGTTCCTCGGCCACTCTCGGGATCTAAAACGGGCGCGCACCGTGTTGTCGAACGCGGCGCCCGACCTCGGTCTCGAGAACGTGCCCGGCCGTCATCGCGCGTCGCGTTCGCCCACGCGGACGACGCCGCACGGGAAAACGCGCGTTTCTACAGACGCGCGCGACCGCGGCCGGTCGACGGCTCCGAACAATGGCCGCCTCTCCGACCGGACCGCCGTCGCGCGGTAGCGCGCCGTTTCTAAAATTCTAACAACAAACGCGCGGATAACGCAGTCGACGAATCCCGTCCGCGTTTGCGGCGGACCGGTTTGCACGACGGCGTCGCCGCGGCTCCCGGGGAGGGGGCCGCGGGGCCGATACCGCGCGTCTTGTCGCACGCGTCTCCGGCAACGGACCGTCCGTCAGGACCGACCGGAACGACGCGCGTACGAATGGCCGACGTCTCACGGCGAAACGGTATTTTCGGGATCAAACGATAAGCGGCGGGGGGGGGCGTGGGAGGGAAGGAGGGAGAGGGGGCGGAAAAAAGAAAACCCCGGTGCGGACGCGTCGAGGAAACCGCCCGCGACGGACGCTGCACGTTACGGCGGCGGCGGGCAACGCGATCACGACACGGGCGTTTTGTTACGTTACGTTCGAACCGTCGGGAATTTCGAAAAATGGTTTCAACCGAGAGTGTACCGCCGGGCGCGTCTGTTTAAATAACGGCGAAAACGAATCCGAGCGTTTTCACTAACCGGAAAAGTATTTTCCCCCCAAAAAAAACTAAGCGCGCGTCCAAATGTAATAAAATTTCAAAAAAAAAACCACCTTCCGACGCACCAAATTGGATACGATCCTCTTTCCGAAAATTTACTGTATACGCTTGATGTTCGGAGCGAGATTTCCGGTAGAAAAGTCGTTCACAAAAAAAAAAAAAAAAAACAAACCATATCCTAGTAAAACCAGTACATTCCAAAAGAAAACCTGTCCTAGGATAATGGTAACGGGTGTAGCCGCTGTTATAGGTAATTCAATGTATACCTGTAAGCAACGATAAACCATTGCTATCGAATAAACGATTCTGAGCGGAATTCAATTGATAGTGATGCTTTGTCAACAATACACCGTATATATATTTCATATTTTGAAATAATTAAACAGGCATTATGTATTTTCTTTAATAATATTTATTTAATATTGTACCGATCTTCCCGTGTTTCCTATATGTTTCCCGGTTTTCCCATGTTTTTCTCGGTTTTTCACATTTCCAAGGAGAACTCTTGGAAAATCGAAAAATTACCTTCTTAAAGTACCTTTTCGGTCAGTCAAATTTCATTTCAGAAAATGTGCCACACTTGAAAATCGGAGTAAAGTTTCTGGTAGTAAAGTGGCGCACAGATAAAAAAAAAACAATAAACAGCTTTTTAAAACCGTAAGCTTCTTCGCTTCACTCAGAATCTAAAAATAAAAAAACGAATGAGTATACCCGGAGAACGGTTTACAGCACGTTGCGGAGATATCGGTTGCCGAAGACCGTTCGCTCTTCTTTCCGCCGAGCAGACAGACAGAACCGAAAAGACAAAAAATACGGACATACTTCCCACGACGGGCGAGCCACTTTTGTAGGTGAACAGTTCGAACGGTAGAGGAGAAATTTCAATGTATATCTGTACGCAACGATTAACCATTGCTAACGAAAAACGATTCTGAGTGGAGTTCGGTTAACAGTGTTGATTTGTCAACAGTATATAATAAGTCATATCACTATGCTTAAATAATTCAGATGCAACGAAAATTTTCTTAAATATTTGTTGAATACATTGAATTTACTTTGCCGTTTTTCGTACATTTTTCTCGGGTTTTTACCTCCTTAAAGTACTACTCCAGTCAGATTTTCTTTTCAGAAAAAGTGCTATAATTGAAAACTGGAGTAAAATTGCTGGTAGAACAGTTGTCCACAGAAAAAATAAAATAAAATAAATAAACATCATTGTAAAATCAATGCGTTCCTCGTTCCGCTCAGAATCCAAAGCAACACGAGTATAGTACGCGTTATTAACGATAATAAAAAATAAATTTAAAAAAAAAAAGGTATAACTACCAACTGTGTTTTCGGTAGTTATAAGTACCCGTACCAATATAATATAATTATTATGGTTGTGACGTACGTGTAAAACTAAAACACGCGTTACTATTAAAACTTATTAGAATATACCTACTCGCATACGCGAATTCGAGAAATAACTGAGGCGGTTTATTCAGATAAAACCGCGGTAGAAACGTCTGAACAATTTCCCGACGCGCGTTATCGAGAATAAAATGTTAAACCCGACCCATACCTACTTATACTGTAAAACCGACCGACTTGGAGGTTAACCGATTATAAATTAGGATAGGTTCATCGAGGATACTTCTCGGTGAAAATAAACATTTACATTTTCCCGATCCGAACTAAACGCAATATCGAATCTAATCAAATTGTACGCGGTAAAGTGTTCTCCATAAATAAAAAAAATTCAATGTTATCGTACCGCGGTAAACTACTGGCTCGGTTTGGCCCGCTCCACTGTAAAAGTGAGGTGTAAATCTATTTTCAAAACGGAAATTGGACTTACTGGAAGTAATAGATACCATATTTGAATATTGTATTCGGGCTTATATTCGCGTCTATGGATAATAAAGAAATGGGGGGATAACCGTGAGCTAAAATTGTCGGTTCTTGAACGATAGGAAACTGAGGCCACAATTTTGCTTTCCACGACACAAATATTTTGGAATATCACAAGTTAAAACCGACATAAAACTGATTGTAAACGTTCGACATTATAATACGTAATATCGGTTTTAAGCCACATAGATAATAAAGGATAGCTCCGGAATTCCGGATAGTAACGGCGGGAATGATAACAAATCTTAATAAAAACCGCGGTTTGATAATTGGCCTCGGTCGTATGGGCGCAACTAAGATAACGATTTTTTTTTTTTTTTTTTTGGTGGGGGGGGTACTATAGCCCCAAACAAATTAATTTACTCCAATTTCAAAATATAATATTATAATCATGAAAACGAATACGGGTAATTATCTTAAAATAATGAGGGCGATAATGTAAGGGATGCTGTACGAATATGTATACAAATATTTTAGCTTTGCCATGGGCGCCCGATAGGGTAATTTTCGGATGGGAGACAAAATAAAACTAGATTCAAAAATCTATTAATAGTATACCGACATAGGTCGGAATTTCTCGAAAAGAAATTAGGAAGAAAGGCCATGTAATTATGGAAAAACATTATCTTTAAAAAAGAAAAAAAAACTGTGAATTGCTGAAATCAAGACATTATAATATTACATAAGATGGTTATCAATTTAGAGATCGAATTTAAATGCTCATAAAACCACAAAAAACACTTGAAAACATTAAAAAAAGCCTTGGAAAAAGAATTCAAAAAAGCAAAACTAATGGATGGGTTTAAAAGTTACCCTTTTAACGGATTTAACTTCTAAAATTTTCGAACACTACAAAAATGATTAATAAAAAGTAATTATTATTTTATAACACGTAAGATTTTATATAAAAGAAATTATTCTGTAAGAATCAATTTAATTTAATATGTTAGAGCCGAGTTAGAGTGGGCTGAACTTATTAACTCCTCCATCAATTTTTTTTTTTTTTTCTAAATGTTTGTAGGCCGAAATTCTAATTTTAAGCGATTTTTTACGTTTTATACGAATATATATGTATATATAAAAATAAATATAAATACATATTATAATGATAATGTTATTAATATTATACATTTGAATTCGTGTGCCCGACTGCAACATTTCCTATTTTTTTCCCCGTAATATTTATTTCTTGAAAATCAAAAATGAGTTTCGTACCATTTTGCAATTCTAAAAGTAAAAAAAAATCGGTGTGCCTAAAGATTTAGCATTGCGCAAAATGTGGAACGTAGCCTTAGGTTTCACATTAAAATCTAAATCCTAGATTTGCGAAAAACATTTTAAGCTTCAGGACACAACAAGAGAATGGACACCAGGCCAGGATACTAAAGAATATACGATATATTTTTTAATTTGTTTTCGAATTTCTCTCATATCATATATTTATGATAAAAGATGTACTACAGTGTTTTCCGAATGCTAATAAATAACTCGGTCAATATTCATTTTTGAAAAAAAAATTGTTTTTTTTTTTTTTTTGTCAATCGAGTTTTGTGCCGTGTTTTAAACGCCAGTCCATTGGTATACACTTTTATTCGCTCGGTGCGCTAGTACACTTTTGCGCGTGTGTATTCAGTTTGGAACGTCCTTATCGTGGAACGTTGGGTGTCCTGCGGTATATTTCAATTCGCGCGCCGTACGAATCGAATCGAATACGTTCCCGCCAAGACGTTTGCACGCGCGAGTAAACGGCGCGGCCGTACTGCGCGTGCGCGTCGGTCATTGATAACGTCCGCCCGAAGAAAATTGTTATCGCGGGCGTGGCGCTGCGGAACGCCCGGAAAACAGTATCGACTTATCGGGCGCGGCGTTGTCGACGCAAATACTACAGGATTGCGATAAACGGCGGATTATTATCATAATAATAATGTCGTACGCATTTTAATGAAGCCGTTTCAACGCGCGGCAATTGTGTAACAACGACAACTCGGAACGGCACCGAATGGCGAACGGCAAGCGTCGCGAAATCAAACGCGCCATCGAACCGCGGTCCGAACCCCACAGTGTCGGCCGCGACAAGAAGAAACCGTACAACAAACACGTCAAGACGTTCGGTCACGCTAGAACCGCGCGCGGATGCCCGACGGAGAGAAACGTGGCCCTTTTCGTGTTACGCTAACGTGCTACGCTATTGATCATCCGCCGTCCGAATTTTCACCGATGCCAGGAGAAGACCGCCGAATTCCGGACAACCCGCGCGAAGCGATCGGACCACGTATTATGTTGACACCGAAAATAAAAAAAAAAAAAAAAATCGAAACGTACGACAAATTATAATTTAATCCTAACCGTTACGATAATTGTAAGCTAATAACCATGCAGTCGATACCGAAACAATAAAATAATAATAATAATAATAATAATAATATTATAATAACGTATTGGACCATAGTCGTCAGTACAACCACGTGTTTACGATTTAAATATAAAACCGAGTGCGCGGCCGGCGTGCCAATCAGTGGCTCCCAAACCACATTGATATTTCTCTATGCGATAATTTTCGACCCGAAACCGCTCTCGTGCCGCGTGCACGCCATCCGCTGCCGACCCCACACGACAATATTTTACTACCTCACCACGAACGCGTACCCGTTCTGCCCGACTGTCTCCCGAATCCCGATCGCCGCCGGGAACGCCCGTCCGCCCGGAACGCGACGATCCAAGTAATCCGGCGCCTGTACCTTTTACGGTTTGGACGCCACTGCGCGCAATCGTTTAATTGCCATTCCGTTCGCGCGCACGATTACGTTTTAATTTGTCGCGTCGAATAAAATACAATCCATTTAAATATTGTAATTTCGGCGTGTCAAATGCGCGTTCGTATTAAATTCGTCGGGTACCTATATAATTACGAACGTTTAATTTTCGTTCGATCGCAATATTATCATTACACACGCCCACTGTACAGAGTGATTTTTCGGTTTTTTTTTTTTTTTTAACCTTAAACCGGTTGACACTTTTATTTTTTTTTTTTTTCAAAAACGACTCCCGTCCCGTCTTTTCGAACACAGCTGCGAATGGAGAACGGTTTTCTAGGAATTTCCACTCGCAAACCGCTACGATATATTGAATTTACCGTTTGCGAGTTACAACCGTGTATAGAGTTTACACCGGAGGAGTCCCTTCAATCATACTCTTCCGGTCTAAACTTCAAATCGGCAAATCCGATATTGGCGTTAGACGTATGGAAATTCTTAGACAATTATATTTTTATTCGAATTTGTTCACAAAAATTTGGGTTCCTCTATTTGAAAAACGTCTTATTAAATGATATACGTGTTCAATGTACATGGAATAAGGGTGGAAATTTTAAAATAAAACAACATCAAACAATTCCCCGATGATTTAAAAAAAAAAAAAAAATAAAAAATAAAAACAAAAATCGAATTCACTGAAAATCCTCCGTGGAAATTTGTTCGCGTAAAAAACAAATCACTCTGTATGTATTTATATTTTAAACGGATTAATAATTTTATTGTACGACGATTTTGCTTTTACTTGGGCATACGTACCAAAAATAATAATATAATATAATACCTAGTAAATTTATCGATTGTATTTCAATAGTTTATCGATCGTTTTAAATATGAACGCACCTCGGGTGTACATTCGTTACGGACGAAAATTGAAATTCCGAAAATCCGTCGGGCACGCAGAAACAAAAAAAAAAAAAAACGCGATAA